TATAAATAACATTGAATTGAATTACTGTGAGGAATTTGATTCTCCAAGGACAGAAGAAGACTCCCAGGGTCTCACAATGGCCTTATATCACCTCATCTGTCTCTACGTCTGTAAGGATTAATGGGAGACGCCTCTCACTGCTAGAAGAGGGGAACTCTGCTCAACTGACTGGCTTAATCATTGACCTCTGTGACATTTTATGGGTCACCGTACCTCTAATGCCAGTTTGCGCTCTGGTTATATAGGTTTGTCTGTGTGATTCTCATTCTAATGAGGTGATGTGCACCCTGCCAGCAGTAAAGAAAGGCAACACCCATTCCATTCAACTGCGAATGGCACATTCCAGGAAGAGGTGAAAGCCGGGGGAGAATCTGATTTGATCTCATCAAGAGTTCAGAGTTGTGTTTCCAGCAAAGTTTCCAGTATAGTGACAACACCTGGATAATTAATTAGGCAAAGTGACATGGGAAAAAAACCCAGCTCGATGTTCTTTTTCTCACGGTATTGCATGGTCAATGAATCACACCTGTTAGATTAAGTTTACTGTCTGAGCTTATAGATAAGATTATACTGCTGTCTCCCAGCGATGGTGAGGAATTAACTATTACACCTGGAATTACTGTAGGGGCTGTCAAAATTTGACTTCTTCAAACATGCGATTGTCCCGATCTTGTATTAACGCACAGATAAGAGTCAATGTATTACAGCTTGACTGATGATGTTTGGGACTAGTAGTGACTGTTGACATTTGAGTCAGATAATGATATATTTAGATTTACCCACCTCCTTCTAAACACACACACACAGAGCAATACATCACAAAAAGCAGAATACTGGACACTTGTACCGTATGAGTTAAACATATCAATTACATTTTATTTCTAAGCCAACTAAAAATCAGATCTTTGATGTTTCTGTCCAAAACTTCTTTATACTTATCATCTTACTTATACATTCAGCTCAACCAGCCTCCCAGAGCCAGTTTCTGCCAAAGATCTCTGTTAAAAAGGAATTCTTCTTCTTTACTGTAACCAGCTGCTTTGCTCCCTAATTAAACTCAATGCATTACCCTTGCAATTAGAAAATGACTGTATATTGCTTTTGTGGGATGTGGGTTGATTTGGGTTTGGTTTGCAGCCAAGAGACCGGAACCCTCTTCTGTATACCGAAGTGTTGCAGAGTCAAATGTCAGAACAGTAGACCAGTCCAGGTAAAGCTCTGCGAAAACTGGGCCATGCAACAGCACAATGGTTCCAAGCATAGCAGTAAATCTACAAAGGAATAGCTGAAACTCAAGGTGCCGCAATGACCCAAAATCCAGACCTCAGTCCGATGCCTGAAATGTTATGCCTAGGCCAGAGTCCAAAATCTCAATGAACTGTGGCAATATTGTAAAAGAGGGTAGGCCAAAATTTCCCCAGAATGATATAAACGGACCCATATAGACATATATTTTAGTACTTGGAGCTATTGTCGTTAACAGGACAATTTGGCAAACAGCAAACTGGTTTTTGCCCATTTTGTTTTTGATCTTCTTTTATTCCACCTTCTTTTTAAGGATAAAGAATAACTGGTTTGTTGAACAGGAGTTTAACATGGCTTCACTCAACTCAAATACCCTCCACAGTCACCACACCTCAGTGCAACAGAGCTGTGATCAAATCATGGATGTGCAACCAATAAATCTGCAAAAACTGTGTGATGCTATCATGGACCAAAATCTCAGAGGAATGTTTTAAGAACTTTGTTGAATCTATGGCATATAAAAGTAAGGATGTTTTGAAGGGGAATCCAACTCTGTAAACATAATGGTGAAATGGCAGGTGAGCGCATGTCATAATATACAATTTATTTATATAACATGATGACAATGATGCCATAATCCAGATACTAATGATTGTGTGTATTATGTGATCATTTTACAGTTAAATGTCTCACATCAGACATGTGTGTTGATTCTGCCTTTGCAGTAAGTAGCAGAAGCATTCACTTTCTTTTAGGCTCAACAAATGGACGTAAACAAACCTCATCCCAGGATGCGGACACATTGACCAACTCCAGTTCTGAGGTGGTGAGGTTATACTCCAGTCCACTGTATTCTTCCTTCATCAGGAAATCCTGAAGAGAAAAAAAATACACTTAAATTATAAAATGCATTTAACTTATACAGAGTTTTTCTGTTATAGGCTTATAAAGACTGAAAAAGACTGGATTCATTATGCTGATGATTGTTAGCAAAGTTATAACAAGTGTAGGATCATTAAAAGCATTTGGATGACAAGCATCTATCTCACCACATCTCTCAACCTACCTCAATCTTGTGGAGTAGTGTCATTGTGTCGTACCACATCTGGAGGGAACCTGGAAACTGACGGGTCAGTGTCATTCTTAACACCATGAAGTAGGAGGCTGTGGTGAAAATTCGACGCAGGATGATGCCTTTACTGAGTGCATATGGTATAATCGCTGAGAGGATAACAAAGATGGCAGAGAAGAAGTATGACGCGCTGTAGAAGTAACGGAGAGATCCAATCTTTCTCGTCAGTGTCATCTCATCCCTGCGGAGGAAAGTGAAAATGGAAGAAAGAACAAAGGGTTTTTCATCAAAAAAGGGAACTATACACAAAAATATATGTTCTAACCTAACTAACACATTAGATTACTAACAGTAGGATGCTCGAATTACTTTAGCAAATTTCATTATGGTAAAAAAAACAACAACTGACAAAATGTTACAGTTAGCTTCAAATGGCACAATTTAACCTTGTTTTCTCAATAATAAAAAAGCTGTAGTGAGAGTCATTCTCTGTGTGTGACAGGATGTGTTTTATATGTGGTGGTGTCTTACTGCCTGATGTTCTTGATGATATTTTCCATCACTTCCTCCCAACCGTACGCCTTCACAGAGTGAATGTTCTCTATAATCTCTGTGGTGAGAGCTAGGCGGCGGCTAGTCATAGGTGCTCTGTTCGCCCTGTTCAAAGGAGAAAGTTTTACCGGAACACCAAAACAATTTTATAGCAAGGAGCATCAGAGGATCCACCTATGCATGCATGAACATTCTCAAGTTTCTGTTTATATATGGACCTGTGCCATTTTTGTTGTTTCTGGGCCGTGTTAGTGTGTTTTTAACATTTGGAAAACTACTGAGATTATAAAAGTTTTATTCACTGCTAACCAGCTATAAACAGCTACTCAATTCTCATTTCCCTCATTCTCCCTACTGGCAGTCTCCCTAGGCAGGCTACCGTTATGGCTTTAAGAGAATATCCAACTCCACTGTCTTGGACCACAACTAGTGAGGGTAGTTCTTGTTCTGGGAACCAAAGCAAGCTGGAGAGCCACTCAAACCAGAACATTCAGCAACTGAAGAACTGATTCATGCATTGCTATTTTGAGCTTACCAAGTCTGTGGAACATAACACAGACTACAGTCACCAGCTACAGTCCAAGTTGATGGAGTTGAAGTTCATTTGTAGGATGAGACTCTTTAAAGCGGGAGCTGATTAAGATTCCATCTATCCAATTTGTTCCACTTACTAAATTCAGGGTGGCTGGAGTGAGAGGCAGGGTATAACTTGGACTGTAGGAGGAAGCCCCACTACATGGGAGAGAACCCACACAGACGTGGGGTGGAAATGCCAGATTTTACCCCAGGACCTTTTTATCTTAAGCTGTCAGGCAACAATGCTACCCACAGCACCACTGTGTTGCCCACTGATTAATATTACTGCAGTACTTGTTACAAACTACCAGAGATAAAATATCTGGAGAGTAGAGTGGCTGAAGTTCAGGAGGTAGAGCAGGTCATCTATTAATCGAAGGGATGCTAGTCTGATCCTCGGCTTGGGCAAGATACCAACCCCACGCTGCTCTCTGATGCAGCCATCAGAGTATACATGTGTGCTAATGTTAGACAGATAGCACTTAGGTAGAGCAAATGCTAATGTGAATGAGGCAAGTTATGTAAAGTGCTTTGAGTACTCAGAGTAGAAAAGCACTATATAAGAACCAGTCCATTTACCATAAATTGAACTGTGACTTGTTCAAGAAAGCTAGCATGCCTGCTTTTGTGGCACACAGCTCTACTGCTACAAAGTGAAACTAATATTTTTAATATTTAGAGAGAAAAACACACATAGCAAGACAGAAGACACAAACACAAGTGTATATTGATATGTAATAGTGTAGATGTCCAATACTAAAAGTGTGTCTGGTTGTGCTATACTACCGATGAGGTGCCATCTTGGTGGAGAGCCAGGCCTGGACGATGCCCATCAGAGTCAGTGCTGCAAGGCCACAGAAGCCGTTCACCTCAATCAGCTCCCAGACCAGACCCACACACAATATGCACTGCAGAGGGGTGATCCATATAAAATGTGCCAGACCCAAACTCTGTACACACAAAGTACACAGAAATTAAATTAGTGTACATGTAAGATGACAATGTGACGATACAAAAGGGCTATTTTACAATTGATCAGTGCGCGCGCGCGCGCGCGCGCGCGTGCGTGTGTGTGTGTTTACCAGACAATCATTGCTTTAAAAAAATGGTATCTGACAGGTTAACTGAGGGCTATAACTAGGATCAACATAATGGGTGGCTGTAGCTCAGGTGGCAGAGCAGGTCAGCCACTAATCAGAAGGTCGGTGGTTCGATGCCTCCTGGCTGCATGCCAAATATCTTTGGGCAAGATACTAACCCCTACTGGTGGTGGTCGGAGGGCCCGGTGGCGCCAGTGTCCGGCAGCCTCGCCTCTGTCAGTGCGTCCCAGAGCAGCTGTGGCTACAATGTAGCTTGCTGTCACGTGTGTGTGAATGGGTGAATGACTGAATCTAGTGTAAAGCGCTTCGGGGTCCTTAAGGACTGAGTAAAGTGCTGCAGGCAGGCCATAATAACAGAAAGCTAGCAAAAACAGAAACAGTGTTTTTGTATATCTTGGTAGAAAGAGGAAAGTTGACCACACTACGGGACAATAAAGCATATCGCTTAATGTTATGAAATAGTATTTGAGAAAGAAGTCCAATGAAAATTACATAAATAAAGGTTCAATCAGTACACATGCACAATCAATATTACATTGTGATATATATTCTTATAGATGGTTCCCTGGAAAGACTTTATTACACATTATTAAAATGTTAATAATTTATGACTGAATTGAATCCAAGCTGACTGAAGGAGTGAATACACAGTTCTCAATAAACACTGTGGATATGGAATAACTAGTCAATTTTCATAAGTGACTTTGCCAACTTCAAACACCTTCATATTGAAAATACTCAGGGTGGTTTTAGTGAAGGAGCTTCCTAGATACTGTGTGCAGGAGGCAACACAAATGAAGGCACTGGAATACTGGCAGTGTAATTCACGCATCAGTGCAATCCAAAATCACACAGGGAACTGGTAGGTTCAAGACCACCTGATGTCCAATCCTTCTGATGGGACCGGATTCTCACATGTAAGGCAAGTCCTAAAAACATTGAATCCATCTAATCTATTAATCTCAGCTCTCACTTTAGCTGGGTCCCTTTCATCCACTCAGCTGCAACTTTCCTCTTGTTATTCCACACTCATGTAAGAACTACTACACAAGGTACCACTGTACCACCTTTACACAAGCCACATTTGAGCCAGGTGATAATTGTTCCAACGCAGGTTGCATAGTGTTTCCACATTCAACACCTAAGTGAGAGCCAAGACAAACATGCATACATAATCACGAGTTTCCAACACTGATGCACAGGTAATACTTGCTTATGTACTAACACTACATTGTATATAGTAATGCACTGTTCTTTTGTCCTCTGTATGGATAACACAGTTAGTGTTGCCTAATAAAACACATTCACTGAAGTCAGTGACGATGTGAATTCTTGTTCCCCTTATCCTGGCAGAGACAACTCCTCCCATCTCCTTCTGAATAGAAAACTACTGTATTATTTCTATGAATAATCTCACATTTCATTCACTTTTCAACAGAGTTGTATTAACTTAAAATTTTCATGCCCCACTGCTTTCTAGCGCATTTTTTTTATTTGTGTGAGGATGTATTAATTAAAACACTATCTTCTTCTTTCAGGTCCTCCCTTCAGAGAACACCACAGCAGATCATCTGCCTCCTGCCTCCATCTCAGCCTATCGCTCTTCTGTCAACCCTCTGCATGTTCTCCTTCACTACATCCATGAAGCTTCTCTAAGGTATTCCTCCTTTTCACCAGCCAGGCTGCTCCATTATGAGCATTCTTTGTCAAATATATCCACCATCCCTCATCTGCACATGTCCAAAAAATCTCAACCCTGCCTAACTCTAACTTTGTCTCCAACATGCTTAACCTGAGCTGTCCCTCTGATATAATCACTTACCTGTTACCTGGTCATCCTGGTCTCTCCCAGTGATAATCCAGTTTTGCCTCCTGTTATTTTGTTTCGTTTTGTTAGTGCTATCCTCTCCAAACCATACATCATAGCAGGTCTCACTACCATCTTGTAAACCTTACCTTTCACTCTTGCTGCTATCCTGGTATCACACATCACCCTTGACACTCATCTCCATCTACTCCACCCTCCCTGCACCCTCTTCTTCATCTCTCTTGTGCAATGTTCACTGTTTTAGATGGCTGACCCCAGGTATTTAAACTCATATACCTTCGCTACCTCTGCTCCTTACAGCTTCACAGTTTCACCTGTCTTCTTGTCATTCACACACATGTATTCTGTCTTGCTTCAACTGAATTCCATTCCTCTTCTCTCTAGAGCATACCTTCACCTCTCCAGGCTCTTTTCCACCTGTTCCCTACTCTCACTACAGATAACAATGTCAACTGCAAACATCATAATCCATAGACACTCAGTTGTGACTTCATCTGTCATCTCGCCACCACCTCTGAAGCAAGAAGGGGATCCGGCATGATTACAAATATAATCCTACCTCCACTTTGAACCTATCTGTAACTCCTACCACACATCTCATCACTATCACAATTTTAGCACCAACTTCACAAACCTTTCTGCCTCTCTGGTCTTCCTCATGCAGGACCACAGCCCCTCCTTTTTTGGCACCCTACCATATGCTTTGTCTAAATTAAGACACGGTGCACCTCTTTCTCCAATCATCAAGACTCTCAAAGCAAACACCCCTGTAATCTATCTTTAACAACTCTTTCTCTTATCTTCATTATATGTCTTATCAGCCTTATCTCTCTATAGTTGTTACAGCTCAACACATAACCCTTGTTCTTCAGTACCAGTACATCCAATTCCTTAGGCATCCTCTCATTCCAAGATTGTGTTAAACAGTCCAATGCCGTCTCTAATGGAGACCACCTCCACAGGCATGTCATCTGAACCTTTTCACTCATGTCTTTACAGTTTTACATTTCACCCTCACTAATCATCTGCACTTCCTGAATCACTAACTGTCCTCCATCTGTCTTTCTCTCTCATTTTCTTTATTCATCAGCTTCTCACAGTGCTCCTTCCATCTACTCAGCACACTTTCTTCACTTGTTAGTACATTTATATTTCTATTCTTAATCATTCTATCCTGCTGCACATCCTCAATCACTGTCGATCACTCCCATCTTTCACTTTTTGCTGTATGCCAAGCCCCCCAGTACTCCTGACTACTTTCTTCATCTCCCTAACTATCCCACTTTTTTCTTTGCTAGTATCTTCCTTTGAATAATTTCCTGCACTTTCTTATTCTAGACACCAAAGACCCTTTTGGCAGTTTCTCCCAGCACTACAGCTGTACACTTCTTTCTACATTTCACTTCTTCACTTTCTTCTTTCTTCATTTCGCCATGTAATTCTTGCCGGTGCCTCTCTCTTTTCAATTTCCAAAGTCATTGTACAGCAGGGGTGTCCAACTCCAGTCCTCAATAGCTACTGTCCTGCAGCTTTTAGATGCATCCTTGTTCCCGACACACCTGAATCAAATGGATGGCTTGTTATCAGGCCTTTGCCAAACTTGATACCATGTTGAAGAGGTAATCCAATCATTTGATTCAGCTGTGTTGGAGTAGGGTTGCATGTGAAAGCTGCAGGACAGTAGCTCTTGAGGACTGGAGTTGGACACCCCTGTTCTACAGACTACCATCACCTTTCAGTCCACTTTCTTTTTTGGATTACACCTTCTACATCGAATATAGTCCACCTATTTGTTACCCTACCCTCGTCCTTGAAGTACATGTTCACTTGTTCCCTCAGGACCTTCTTGCTGTGAGGCAACAATGCTAACCACTGCGGCACAATCTTCGCAGGAGTTCTTCCTTCCATTTCACATCTTATCTACACCATAGCAGAACATTTTGAATCCACCTCCATTCCTCCTGCCTTTGCTTCCCTTCCACCTGGTCTCCTGCATACCTTCCAGTTACAGTGCATGTTTAGAGTCCCTACTCTCACCTCCACACTTCTACCTTTCCTTCTCTTTTGCTGTCTCCTAACACAGCTTCATTAATTCCTCCTCCTTTGTCTTCAGCCAATAGTAGCACAGTTTCCACTAGCAACCTATTTGTTATCAGCATCGGAGGCAGTTGTTGTAAACCCGCGACCCAGCTGATCTGGTAAATTTTTCTGAAATGTGTGGGTTTTTTTATATTGTTGTTTTCCAACCTAAAGCCCTGTGTATTATTTCTTAAGAAAGTCAATAATAATGATAATAATAGAATTTCGAAACAAAGTACAACTTCTGGCTGATTCTGACAAACAATCAGCTTTTGCCCTTGAAAAAAAAGGTCCAAGGTTTCTCACCTCATCCAGCTTGTTGAGATTTGCAGACATCAGACTAACAAGCTGACCAGTGCTGATCTTATCCAAGACTCTGCTGGACAGCTTCAGGGTCTGAAAATGTCAAAGGTCAGAGGTCAGCTGGAACACAAAAAGAGAAAGCGAGTAAAAGGTGGAAGTCTGTGACACACGGCCATGCTTTGACACCCGGCTGACATGCCCCTCACAGCAACCTGTGGACAGTCAAGTAAGTGCCTCTCCGGGAAAGCTCAGTCATACATGACAAACAAGGTGGAAGCGTTTAGCTGATTTGGAGAAGCTGGTCTTCAAAATATTACTAGGAAAACATAAAATCTAAGAAATGCAAAGGCCTTATCGGATGGGTTGCTTTGTTCTGATAGCAAATTGTTACAGCAGTGACTAAAAGTAACAAGCATTCAATTCAGGTGTTATCAGCAGCTCAGTGCTACTGGCTGCAAGGAAGAATTTACACTTGCACTATACAACACTTCAGGAACAAACATTATACGTTTTACTCTAGTTGCAAATGAAAAATGCATTGAAATTTTTGAAATCTTAATATCATTGTTCAAGGTTAAAAATACAGTTTAGAAATAGTTAAAAAGTTTATAAAGGTTGGAAAATAGTTTCTAATCATAGATAATGTTCTTCCCTTACCTTCTTGTAAATAAGGCTAAAAAGTGCGATGCGGATCTGCATGCCAAGGTGATGCAGGCCAAAGATGGCAGGCTGCAACAGAAGGAAGCGGGCAGTGAAGAGGAGGCAAAGGCCCAGGGACAGGTAGAGTCCCTGACTTCTCTCTGGAGCATGGAACGGGTCAAAGGAAGCAATGATGCGACCTGAAATCTGAGGTTGCACCGTCTTGGAAGCCTCCTGCACAAAAACCATGGGACAATAAAGAGAAAACAATAACACCTCCTCGAGGCAAAGCAAATATATTTGGCACAATAGTGCATTGAGCTCATGATTCTTGCTAAAGCTGCTGGAGAGGACAGTAAATGATGAAAATGAATAACCAATGGTTTTGTAGTTGTAGTTAGTTCATCCCTAGAGAATCAGCTTTCCTCGTGCCCTTGGAAGATTGTTAAGTATATTTTAACACCCCTGTTACAGGCATGGTAAGTTTATGAGCAATATACTCCTAAGTACATTTTAATAATGAGGACTTCTTTGTTTTTCTGGTATGAATGTGGGAATAAATAAATGCAAATACAAAGAAAAATTGATCAGTTTCAGTATCAACTGCTATTTCAAATATGGGTATTTTAGGCAAGTGCATATTCCAATAATTTTTAATGTTGAGAACATGACATAAAGTAAAAAACAAACAAACAAACACTAAAACTAAAAGAAAATGTCACCTTAGGAAAAAAAGAAAATACGGTTACATAATAACAAATTCACGTCTGGATCTGGAATCAGCCAGGATCATTAGCCAAGATTCCAAGCATATCCAGATAAACATTTTTCTGCCAAAAATCTAATAGCCTTAAACAACCAGAAAACTATGCTGGCTTCCACTTCAATGTGTTTTCGGAGCCTCTCTGTTTACCTAGTGTCTCCTCAAAATCCACCAGGCATTCTTGCCATCTTGACAACCAGCAACAACTGCACTAACTTACACAATGGCTGCTGTCTGGAGCTTCCCATAAGCCTGGGACAGTGAGCTGGTTTGTGACACCATGGTGTGACATGCTTGTGATGTTTGTGCGTCATTGCACAATAGCTTTATTGGGGTGTGCCAGCAGGACACCATAGTTAACAGGTACCCCACACACATGCAGGTACAGCATTAACGAACTGCTACATAATTACTGCTAGGCATGCAGTCGAGCCAGGTCGAGCATGCAGTAGGTGTAACACAATAATTACATTACTGAACATTTACCTGCTATTTTCACATGGGTGTAATTAAACAGGATGGATAAAGACTGTTTAATGTTCAGTCTAACTGGGTTGCATTCTCACACACAACTCTACTTGGTCATATAGAGAAATGGTTATTTATGTCCTGACTTAAAGACTCTAGCTGAGCGTTATAGTCATCACCATATTGGTGCTTTGAAAGCACAATCAATGGGTGGATGTGACCAAGGGGCAATGTGTGCTCATATGGCAATGTTAGCTCTTGCTTTATCGTCCTTTGTGACTCTACGTGCGGCTATAACTGAATTTCATATGGTACTCAATAGCACTTGAAACTAGTGATTGAGACCACAAAATTATCAGGAAAGAGTTAACTGAAGTCAAAAATCAAATGAGCACTAGGGGCTCTTTTTCCATCTACTTAATTATAATCTGATGTCTTTCATAACTAATGTAGCTGCCCCCTCCTCGTCCTACCATAATGATGTTCGACTGAGCTGTGTAACAATAATTATTTTTGCATTTGAACATGAAATTTTGAAGTCAAAGTTTAAAGAATTAATTTTGTTCATGTTAATGGGTACATTTGCTAAAAAGACAGGTTAATAACACCTTCTAACCTCCAGCCTTTATCATATTTAAAAACTCAGAAAGACAGGTGAAGGTTTTACATCCCAATCCATCCATCCATCTTCTTCCGCTTTATCCAGGGTTGCGGGGGCAGCAGCCTAAGCAGAGAAGCCCAAACCTCCCTCTCCCCAGCCACCTCCTCTAGCTTATCCGGGGGAACACCAAGGCATTCCCAGGCCAGCTGAGAGATATAATCTCTCCAGCATGTCCTGGGTCTGCAACCAGTCCGGGGCCTCCTACCAGTGGGACATGCCAGGAACACCTCACTCAGGAGGTGTCAGGGGTTGCTGAGTGGAGGCGAGGAAGAAGGAACCCAAACGCAGGACTCGCAGGTAGGTGAAGCCTGGTGATTTATTATCGATGGAGTGAACAAACAGAACAGAGGTAGGAAATGGCTGGCTGGCTGGACGACTGACTGAATGACTGAAGGACTGACTGAAAGACTGAATGGCTGGCTGACTGAACGAAGGCGGAAACGACAACATAACATCAATGACACGACAAAGAACTGGTGAAACCGAGGAACTTAAATACGCAGGTTGAATGATGACAATGATTGGAAACAGGTGAGTGCAGAGCTGAACATAATCTGACTAATGACACGAGAGACAAGCTGACACGGGGAAAAAACAGGAAGTGAAAACATTGATGTGGCAAAACTGAAAACACTGGGTCACCGACCCAGGAACCCTGACAGGAGGCGCCCAGGAGGCATCCTTGTCAGATGCCCGAACCACCTCGACTGGCTCCTTTCAATGTGGAGGAGCAACGGCTCTACTCTGAGCCCCTCCCGGATGGTCAAACTTCTCACCCTATCTCTAAGGGAGAGGCCAGCCACCCTTCAGAGGAAGCTCACTTCCTCCTCTTGTATCCGCAATCTCGTTCTTTCGGTCACTACCCACAGCTCGTGGCCATAGGTGAGGGTAGGGACGTAGATCGACTGGTAAATTGAGAGCTTCGCTTTTACGCTCAGCTCTCTCTTCCCAATCCGTGCTTTCAAATATTCTTTTAGAAACCAGAGATCATGTGACCAGGACTTTATTTGCTTTCTGCAGTAAGTGTTTAAAAAAAATCTAAATTTGAATCTCCTTTATGTACAAGATAAAACCAACATGATCAAGTTATAATAATGATGGGTTTGAATCTGCAAGCAGGACTGAGCATCACAATTCCCAGTTAGAGATGCTGGATGTGCTTCCTGCAGGACAGACAGAAATACTCACCCCAAGGTAGAGGAGGACACCAAAGCAGGCAAAAGGCCAAAAGAAGCAGCGGGCCAGTGCTCTCAGCAGCTTTGGCTTTCTCTTGGCTGTGGCTGACACCACCTCCCTGTCCCATTCTCTGTAGGGAGGAAAGAGTTATATTGTAACACAGTTAAAATGCAGTGAAGAAGGCAGAATGGGAGAAACACACAACACCAGACAAATGCCAGAAGGGTTTGGCTCTGGCTCTTCTATCTGTCTGCTACTACTTTGGCTGTGTACCAGCTTTTCTGAGTTTAATGGTCTGTTCCACAACTTCAGCTGGTGATTAATTCACAGAATAAAAACCTGTTGCCATTTATTTATGAATATAATTTTTGTGAATGAATTTTGTACCTTTTAGATGTTGGGAATTTGAGTCTAGTTTTCTAGGACTTTCTACAAGTATTGTTAGGAATTACTTAGTGTAACTTTGTTATAACTCTATTAATTTCCCACAACTGTCTTGGCAGGCAAGTACAGCCTTAGAGAGTAGCTGCATTGTTCTGTGAGGGGAAATTTATAACTGCGGTGATGTGGCCAACCAGCAGCAGTAAGTGATGGAAGAAATTGAGAAGAGAAAAGACGGGCAAAGAAGTAGAAGTACAAGGGGGGGGGGGGGCAATTGAGGAAGAAAGTGATTACAAAAAACATAAGGGGATTGAAGATTTACCTTTCATATTGAATTAGTCTCAATTTGTACAGGCAGAGATCCTTGCATTTTCAATTTTAGTGAGTCATGCAAAATGTCTAGGTGGCCATATGTTACCTATTGACTGCCAAGCAGAGATATACAACTCAGGGCCACAAACAGGAAAACTGTGGGGGTGGGGGTGGAAGGGATGGGGATATCCCAGCTATCATAAGGTGAAATTCACCGTACACCCTGTACAGATCACCAGTCTATCACAGGATTAACCTGTAATATTCCTGCAGGCATAGGGAGCATGTGCAAACTCTGCAGATACAGTAGTGAATCAAAAGTGCTAACCACTGTACTGTTGTGTACAGACAATATGGATAAGATAGACGTGACAAGATTTTGAAACTGAAAGCTTCCTAGCTTCTGTTTGTTGTCTGCTTGCAGTCTGAGTACTACTGAATAATCAAGGTTCTGCAGGCTTTGGTTTCATGTAGGTAAATGCTCCATATGGAGTGTAAAAGAAGAGCTTCATTTGCCACAATGCATTCTTAAAATCAAAATCTAAAATTTTACTAGCTTGTTTCTAATGTATACATATATACCAAACAGAAAGTCTTGGTTCCGATGGTTTCAATAAAAGCTTCAAAATATTGTCTGTTGTCTGCAGAGGCCAAGTCATTATAGATTACGGGTTTCTAGATTTGCTTTGGTAGCAATCTTCTTACCTAGTATGTTATTTATTTACTGCAACATAGATATATCTAAAATAAAAACATCACTATGTTTATGATATCAACATTTAAAATGATTAAAATGTAATTAAAAATGCAGATTCACATGCGTGTATGTGTTGTCTTTACCAGACTTCATTCCAGCTCCTGCTAGATAATAACTGTCATGCCAAGAAAGCTCAAAGACTTGAGTTGAATTGGGGGTGATAAAAGAGGCTGACGGCACACAGCATGCTTTAATGGAAGGTAAAGTTCACGTTCCCAGAAGTCCTCACTGTTTGCCTGATCAGAATAATGAAAGCAAAATCACCCACCACTGCTCATTTATCACCCTGGTGGGACTGGGCCCTTTCTAAAGGTCGACTTTATAAAACCTGTGTACACTGACCAGCCTTTTGGCCACATTTAGCGTGACGACAGCCCCACAAAGAGGCAAGACTACGTGGAACACTGCCGTGATTGTTAGGCAAATTTTAAAAAACTATAAGAGTATTTAACTTTTGGGAAATGACTTGTCAAAGATGTGCCACCAGCTTATATCTGCAAGAACGGGAAAAGATTAAAAAGGGATCAAAGGAAGAAAGTAACAAAATAACAAAAATGAAAAATTCAGAAAGACCTTGTGCTGCTAGCATTGGGCTTAACAGGATACATTTAAATTAATTTATTATAAGAAATTTAATCATTATCCAACTTTTTATTGAACAAAATGAATGTAAGACAAAGAGAGAAAAAGACAAAGAGAGAAACAGAAATAAATCAGAGGGAGAGTGCAAGACAGATGCAAAAAAAGAGGGTCACGTCTGTCCATCATCTTTGGTCTGGCTGTTCGTTTGGCACACACAGGTTTGCTTTATGTCAAGCCTTGTTTAAATGCCAGCCCTTATTGTGAAAAAAGAAAGGACTCATACTCTGCTACTGTAAACATGAGTAAAGAACATGCGTGAAAAACATCAAAGCCACATATTTCTAGGTTTCAGAATGTCTACAAGTTCCACTTACCTGGATTTTGTTACTGTGCATGCTACCTACATCAATGTAGTTAATCAGCACATACCTAGAAATTTTCTCTACATGTTTTAATAAAGTCTGGATGAAGTTCAGTTAATGATTTTATTAATTTCAGAGAATACCTTACAACCAGTTCCCCAAAAACAGGCTTCAACTCAGTGAGTTTAAAGGGGAGATCATCATTAATTTTGTTATTACTAATCTTGTAAGGAAAGACTAAAAAAAAATTAAGTGTTTAATTGTTCTAATAATGCACAGGTTGTACAAACCTTTCAAGTCTCTCAGAGAGGTTGTCTGCCAGATCAAAGGAGGGAGCCTTGTACACATCTGACAGATCCAACTTCTTTCTGAAGCCCTTCCTTAACAGTGGTGTTACCCACCTGCACACACACACACACATACACACAAACACACAAACACACACACACACACGCATTTGTAATTAATCTTTTTAAATTACATGGAAATATAATTGTTTCTTCGTGGTTAGATGATAAGCCTTTGATTTCATAGTCAGACTAATGACAGAGAACTGAGAGAAATATTTGCTAGTATCTGTGAATGAATCACAGGCTGTCTCATCCAGATACATCATGTAGGTTTTAGGATTATTTCTCTGTTTGGAATTGGAGTAAGTGGGGCGTCGGCGCCACTTTATTAGGCTACAATATTAACAAAGAAAGAACCATTTAATCCATGCAAAAAAGTGTAATATGACAATTCCTAGCACATTACACAAATTTTAAATCTTCAGTAGCTTAAGTGCAACTGCCAACGCTTTCTAGAACATACTACATCGGAGCACAACTCTGTATTTTACGCACGTGATTTCTGCAGATGTGAGAAGAAAAACTGAATAGAACCCTGCAGTAATTGCCTTCTGAAGAATCGAATGGCATATTGGTTTCCCCCTCCCTTCTGACATTTCTTTGTTTACTTTACACCGTATAACTTTAATTTCACTTTACAACAGACAAGCTGCGTGTGCACCTGGCCCTGCACCTGGAGCCAAGGCTGTAGACCAAACATTTCTTACCAGAAGAAAAATTTGGAGAAGAAGTTCGCATCTTCTACTGGTGACTTCTGCATTCTAAGAGCGCCGCCAGTTTGAGTTCCCTGCACCTGAGTGTCCCCCGCGTGGCTCCGAGGGGATGCTCGTCCGCTTTACTCTCCACTTCGTGTCTGCTCTGAATGTATCGTCGCTATGCGGTCATCTTGGTGCCCCAAAAGGGTGGAAAAAACCAAAAAACTGTACCTCTTCTGTCACTTTGCGCGCTTCCCTAGGCTTTTTTTTTATTGCTCCACTTGCTAAAACTCAATGTCTTCTTGTGCGTTTTCCTAGTTTTATTTTCTGCTGCAAGTCACAGTCCGCTTCGACTACCTTCCTTTCACTCACTCTCTCTCTTTTATCTCCCTCTCACTCTGTGACAGGGAGAGGACAGTCTATCCTTTATGGGCTCGCCAACTACTAAAACGTCATTTCCACGCCGACTGGCTTCAGGGTAATATTGTGGCACCAAACTCAAGAGGCACAAGTTAGTTGATCAGAAAAGATGTGGGAGGTGACCGGAGTGCAGAACTCACAAAATGTGAATTATCCTGACTTCAATTACACTCAGTTAAAAGGTAATTTGGAGTAGAAATAACAAACGTAGCACTGTAGAATCCGACCCATTTCACAGTTAGGGTTTTAACGTGAAAACCTAACATTTAAACGTCTTGTTGAAGCATAAATAACATAATAAAAACCGCCGAATGAACAGGTTTTACAGTCAGGTTAGTCCTGCTGCTGCAGGTCTACTAAGCTGCCTCTAATAGTCAAGCTGTGGCTTTTTATTTAATAGCTGGTACAGTTCCTGCACATTTCGATGAATTTCAAACTTTTTTCTTAAAAAAAAAAAAAAGGTTAAGCACTGTTTCACTTTAGGGAGGGTTAAAACCTAGACATTCCTGAAGGGAACAGAGATAAAGTGTGGTATTAGATCACTTGTTGAAATAGCCCTGTGCTGACAGGTAATCTGGTTTAAAGGGGAGAAAATATTAGTGGAGTTTGTGTTTGGAACAAAAAAGCAAAGAATTGTTCAAAAGTGCAGGATTCGTTTCATGTTTCAAGTAGAAACACTGCTCCAAAACTCCGTACAGAAAACGATGCTGACATTGATTTCCATAAGCCATAATCATATAACTGAAAACAACAACCAGGGTGTGAGGAAGACCACGGGGAAGAGCAATTTGAAAAGTAAGTAAGTAAACCAGAAAAAGGGTGCTTAGTTATAGCATATTTGTAGAAGTAAAGAATTTTGACTCCTTTATCACCTCTTTAAAGCTTGTTTCAGTAGGATTTTTAAGCCAGAGCGGGATATAAAATATAAAAGGTAGTAAGGGGACCTGAGGAAAAATACAGAGAGACACACTGTTAGATGCTTGCAGTTGGCTACAACCGGTGTTGACTTGCCCAGAAGAAAGAGTGACCTCTTCTGGACAATGGCTGTCCCTTGGAGCTGTTGTCAATAAATTCTACCTTCATGCAGATTAGATAAAAGAGCCGAGGTTCACACCTGTTTTAATTTAATTCAGTTGTATTTATTTATACAGCACCAAACAACAATAACAGTTGTCTCGAGGTTCTTTATATTGTAAGGTAAAGACCCTACAATAATACAGAGAAAAACCCAACAATGGGATGACCTGTATGCGCAAACACATGGTGATAGTGGAAAGGAAAAACTCCGTTTTAACAGGAAACCTCAGGCAGAAGCAGGTTCAGGGAGGAAAAGCCATTTGTCACAAACAGGGATCAGGGCGGGAGACAGGACAAAAACAAGGCCTTGTAGCAACAACAAAAATTCCTGTTTTAAGACACAATTTTAATTCGGTGTACAGCGTAACTTTATGAAAACACTGTACTGCTATTTATGTTATTTGTATTTTCCTATTAAACTAGAACAGGACTCTTTAAATTGGCTTGGTGTCAAACTCCGCCCAACGCAGGCGCAGTGCGCAGCCTCAAACGTCTCTCCAGCGTGACCTGTAGAGTCCACTCGGACCGATGATGCTTAGCGAGCTATTGCGCTAAGTCATGGCGAACTTCATGGATTATGCCTTTGCGGCTGGAGAAGAAAGCGACGGCAGCGAAGCTGAGTGGCACATCTCGCCTTATTCGGATAAAAACTCTGGTTGCATTAAGGTTCTCAACACCAGCGCCCTCCATCTTTTCTCATTTGCCTTTATGCTGCTAGTGATAGCATTAACTAGCAACAGCGGCAACCTCTGTGTCTAACATGAGCTAACTTAACGAACCTCATATGTTCTTTCTTTCTTCTTGTTTTTTATTTATTTTATTTACTCTAGTAGAAAGCTAATTTAACAGACAAAGAAAACCAATTTGCTGTTTTCTTTAATTATTGTTAAGAGTTCAGTTACAGGAGTTTGTACAACTGCCTCTCTTTCTCACCCTTGGTGTTCTTGAATTGCTGTTAGGAGGCTGCTTAAAAATGAACATGGCTGTAACTTGGGCAGGGTTCCTACATGCATAAATATAGGATAAATGCTAATTACCAGCTGGTTTAAATGTGGTTTAAGTTATACAGGGGTAAGTGTTTTTAGTCAAATAGATTAAAAAATAGCAGGAAATGGATGTACTTACCATTTTGAGCCATATAAAAATCGCCACATTTGCTAAAAAATAGTAAAACATGAGGTTCACACACGCCGTGTGTCAGCAGTCAACAGGACACCTACAGACATACGTGACAGGTGTTACAGAGCCTTTTCACATACACCTACAGTTGCTGAAAAAAGTACCATCTCTAGAAGACAAATGGCTGAAATAAAGTAGAGTAGCCCAAGAAAGCAGAATATACAAAAATGGCTAAATAAGGTTACAAAAATGAAAGTTAAATAAGTCAAAATGAAATATTGAGCGTCACAGCTTTATATCTAGTAGTTCTCTATAATAGATAAATACAGTAACTAAACACATTGAGTAAACCAAAGACTGTTATTAATAATGACTTTTTTACATGTACACAATGCCGTTAACATAAATTGAGATTTTTTCATTGCTTAAATCGGGTCCTCTGAATTGATTATGCATTACGATTATCCTGATGAGTCAGAAGAGACTTTGTAACCTAACTTTAAAAAAAGTGTTCCTGTAATATTTGACTTGAATTTAACCCAACATGAAGGAAGGAAAAAAACAATATACACACATACACATTACTATATTCTTTTTGATTTTCCTTTGGTGCAAGGCCACAAACTCTTTTGTAGGCACTAACATTTTTTATATGAAGGAATCCGTTTTTATTGATTATGGTTGTTCCATATTTTTACAGGAGCTGGATGCTGTTCAACAACAAGGAGAAGATACTGTGTCAGCTTTGAAAAAAGCTATCAATAACGGAGACACAGACACTGTTAAACAGCTGTTGGACAATGGCAAGCACTTCATTTTTTTTGTATCACACATTATAGTTGTCTCTAAATAATGCATTAATGCTCTAACAATTCTTCAATTATATATGATTTTTTGTTTAACTTTGCTATTAATCCATATAAAATCATTTATTTTGTTTGTCTTGCTTGCTGTGGCTTTTTGTGGACAGGTGTGGATGTGGAGACCAGGCTTGGATTTGAATGGACTCCACTTATGTGTGCTGTCAGCGTGGCCAACTATGACCTGGCCAAACTGCTTCTGGATAGAGGGGCCAGTGCCAATTTCAGCAAAGGTCAAAACAATTTGTTCAACATAGCCAGAATTTCTTTGTATTTGCTATATCAGTGGTTCTCAAACGTTTCGCAATGAGTGCCACCTCATAAAAAATATGGCTCGTGAAGTAACACGTTATAACCAACATTGAAGTACAGAAGTATAGACCTATTTAATGCCACATACAGTTTACACAAGACATTTTTATTTATTATATGAATGTTATTTATTTTAACTGTCATAAACAGGATGTGACAAGTGATAATAATAACAACTGTACTGCATTAAAAGATTCACAGCAGGTGAGATATCCGATCTTTAAGTGATGACCTGATGAAACCTTTTCCAGGTCCAAACTACTCTGCGTTTATTAAGGCTGTTGTGTTTTTAACATGTTTTAATGCTTTGTATCTTGTTCTATTTAATCTGAACAAGCCCCTAAAAAAGGCAGTGATCATTGTCGGCCTCTCTCGGTTTTTATCATCACTATTCATTTTAAAGCTCAGTTTTTAAAACCTTACGATGTAACTACACCCATGCAGCAGTATATTAGTGACTAACCTTATATTGCAGTTGTTTTCCTGACTGAAGTTTGGTCCATTTACACCATCCTGCCATGCGATTGCATTTGTCCCTAACCTTCGGGAACCCTCACGTTAACTTTTATTAACTGGAAAAAGGTTAGCGTTCATCCTCCAGCTTCACTGTGTTTATATTATGCTAACCATAGCTGTGTAGCTAGCCACCACGCAGCACATCATTATATACCAGCTAGCCAAACTTCAGTAACCCTACAAACGCCATTGCTGTTTAGTTCATCATCATCATCATCATCATCAACTTTATTTATAAAGCACTTTAAAAACAACCACAGCTGACACAAAGTGCTGTACAGTTTTCTGTCTTCATTTATGTTGGAAGTGATAGCAGAGCTGTACGTTTGAATTTTTGCTGTGGCGGTTAAGCTGCCGGAATTTTGGCTTCACGACCCTCCTTCGTGATTCATGCAAACCGAAGCTCAGTTTGCTCTCCACAAACGCTGGCATTAAATACCATGCAAATAAGTTTATGTGGTGGCCTCGCTGGATCCACTGTCCACCCGCCCTGTGATGACCCTCTTCCACGACCCGCCCAAAGAAATACACCACTCTCAAGGTGCTGCTGCTGCAGTGCCACTCCCTCTCCGATGCAGAGCGGGCCGAGAAACTCCCCTCTCTCTCTGGCCTGGGTGATGGTATTGCTCTCAAGTGAATGTAGAGCATGTTGTCCTTGCTAGGAACGGATGACAGCGGATTCCTCTTCACTCACATCTTCCTCTGACAGATGCCGGTGCGAGCTGGCCTCGCCAACTCCCCGCTGCTGGTCACAAAGGATTACCGCTCACTCGCAGAAGAAGTGGATCGCATTCTCCTGGCTACCAGGAGCATCAGACTCACCGATGGTGGCTGGGATTGCGGCATTGCATAAAAGGGCTGTGTTTTTACCATCAGCGTGACAGCGCCTTGCTGCCTTTGCAGTTTTAAGGCCCAGAAAAACAAGCTCGCCGGTGCACTGTAGCGGCTGCGACCGCTGGCAATAAGGAAAGGCTGCTCTTCATGGAGGACTCGCACTAGGGGAGATGTTTTCTGGTTGAGTCTGGCTCCTAGAAGAGCCCGGGGAACTCTCGTGTCGTCTTTGCATACCTCCACAATGGTATATTATTGAATCTTAAAAAACATTGGAGATTTCCCGTGTACCACCAGAGAGAGCCCAAGTACCACTAGTGGTACATGTACCACAGTTTGAGAACCACTGTACTTTATTACAAAACCTAAAACCACGGTCAGAGAGAATTGGTACAACAGTGGTGGTTATCAACTGTCTTTGTTAATGTAGGCTCTCTGTTTCAGCTTCTGTGCACGCCCACTTAAAAAGGGCTTTTCACATGTCATTTGACTCTTCTTCTGCACACTATCTAAATTCAGTTTAAGAGACACCTAATCCGATCAGAAACATAATCAAAAGAACAGGAGATGAAGATGTATAAAATGTTACGAAAATAAAACAATAGAATGCAATACTGTGGTTGCAAATATGTTTAAACAGTAAAGTTGCAGAAAATTGTTGATTTGGGCATTTGATCATGACAAGCACGCAGAGCTGTGAAATGACTATATTAACATATTTATTTTATTCCTCAGTGCTCTGTGTTACTGTTTATTTCTGATGTGATGGCTCGCATAGCTCTTTAAACTGCATGACATAGACACTTGGTAAAACATTAGTGTGCACTAGTGTTAACTGTCTCATTGTCTGCAAATAGAGATGTGAGAGTCATTTAAATTTGTCACCAGATCAAATTGAAATGGACTTTTTTTTAAGGAATGGGTATTCTTAGTGATAGATAACCTACAATCGTGGGTTATTTATGGGTCTGGGTTGGATGGGTACCAATCTAAGTAGAGATGCCCAGGCGTCTCTTTCCGCATTCTCAAACGATTCGAGAGATGTAATCTCTCCACCATGTCCTGGGCCTGCCATGGTCAAATGTCCAAACCACCTCAAATGGCTTCTTTTGACACTTGGGAGTAGCAGTTCTACCTTTGAGCTCCTCCCAAGTGACAAAGGTCCCATTTTTGTTTTTTAGGGTGACCCCAGCCAATTTTCAGAGGAAACTCATTTCTGTTGCTTATAATCTCACTATTATTCCTTTGCCAGCTACCCAAAGCCTGTGACTACAGGTGAGGATAATGACATACATCAACTGTTAAATCAACAGCTTTGCTTTCATGCTTGGCTTTATCACAACAGACAGGTGATGCAAATGCAGGACCTGTCTGTTGGTGTCCTGCTCCACTCTCCCCTCAGTTGTGAACCAGACACCAAAATACTTAAATTCCTCCATTTGGGACAGCAACTTCTCCCTGAGCTATAGTGGACATGGCAGTGAGAGAGGAGTCAGTGGAGGTTGTTGTTCGATGAAGCAAATTTTTAAATACAGCTGTAATCCTACCTCTTTTTTTTTTTTT